CCAGACCAGCAGGTTTTAGCGTATTTCAGTTTATTTTTAACTGACGAATGGTGAAGGTTAAATGCTGAGATTCTTGAAGCACAAATCCTGAGCATCTAGGAATGCAGAGATATGCTCTTCTGCTTTTTTTTTTTTTTTTTTACAAAATATCCTTTGCCTGGAAACAGAACTCTCACTATGGTGGTTTCTATGTATTTCACCCCCTCATGCATTTCTCACTGGATGCCTGGGTTAATGGACCCGTCATGTTCGCATATATAGAGTTTGAGACCCTCTACGTAACCCTAAACAACTAAGAATGTCTTTATTATTACAAAGAGTAAGAAATAGGACTTACAAATAACTTCAAACAATGTGCCAATATTACCAGTTGGCTGGTACCGAGAGCCAGAGCTGCTGGGTGGAGGGTTCTGAGGCCAGAAAGGCCGTGGCTTCGTGTTGTTTGCCTGAGTGCAGGGTAGGGACATGGAGGACAATGATGTACTTCCTTTTCCTGGTCTAATTCAAAGATATTTATACTCAATTAAATATAAAAATAACCATGTTATTTACTATATACATGAAAATCACTTTTAGGTGACTTTATTTAAAGCAGTGTCTATCCAGAGACTCAGTGGAGGCCAGTGTGTCTCAGGCCGGCACTGCTGAGACTGTGGACATGTGCTGGCCAGAGAGGGCTCTCAGCCCTGTGTCCTCCTCCCCTTGCCAGCCCAGGATGGGGTGGAAAGTCACAGCAGGTTGATGTGCTGGTATTTGACTTCACCTGTGGTAGGTAGAATAATGACTCCAGACCCATGAATATGCTAGGTTATGTACCAAAGGGAAATTGAAGTTGCAGATGGAATAAAGTTTGCTAATCAGCTGACCTTAAGATAAGAGGGCATATCCTGGCTCATCACAGTGGGCCAATATAATCACAAGGGTCCTTCAGGATGGAAGAACTCAGAAGACAGACCTGAGAGGGTATGGCTAAGCTTTCTGCCTGACATTGTTCACTTTGAAGGTAGATGAAGCCCTAGTGCTGAGAATGTAGAAGGCTGCAAGAAGCTGGAGAGGGCAAGGAGACAGACACTCTCTTAGAGCTTCCAGAAAAGCATGCAAGCCTGCCCAAAATTTGGTTTTAGCCCAGGGAGACCCATTTCAGACTTGTGAACTACAAAACTGTAAGATAATAAATTTGTGTTGCTTTAAGTCAATTTAAGTGTGCGGTGATTTGTTAGAATTGCAACAGAAAAGGAACACACCATCAAGGTTGCCTCCATGTGATGATAATGATAACCACTAATACTTGATGCCTGGCACTGTTGCTCAACCTTTTTTTAGCAATCTCTCGATTGGTGAGGTTTGTACTATTGTTTATTTCCTCTTTACAAGGTACAAATATAGAAGCTTAGTGATACCAAGTTACTTGCCAAGGACACAGAACTAGTAAGAGTCCGAGCCAGGCCTAGAGTCAGGTCTCCAGGATACCAAAGTCCACGTTTCTGACTGTGGTGTTAGCACTGTGTATTCTGGGCCTCTGTTGCTCACCTGGAGTCAGCCGCTCCCTTTCTCCAGCTTCTGCTTAGCTACAGCAGGCAGACCATTTGCTCCACTCCAGTAAGGATCTTGACCACTGACTCCCAGGCTGTCTGGCTCTGCAGACCACCCTCTCCTTTCAGCCTACACCTTTGCTACCGTCGTATTCTTTCCAGCCATGACTCAGGTCCCCAGGCTTTTCCTTAAGGCCAGCTTCTACCTGAGACCCAGCTGCGTGGGGTGGGACGGGGGGTGGAAATACTGTAGGAGTTCAGTGCTGAGCCGCACTCATGAAGTCTGATGGACCTCAGGCAAGCACAGCTAGGTGCGGGTGGCCTCCAGGTCAGGTCTGCTCTGTCATGGCAGAGCTGTGGCAAAGGGAGAAAGAAACCCGCAGCTCTGACCAGCCAGGGCTTGGTGTTCAGGAGCAGGGTCAAGAACATGCCCGGCAATCCATGTAATTCTACCCAATATAAAAATATTGATTGGGTATTATTATTTACTAGGAAATTAATACCCATGTGAAAATGTGTAGAGATTTAGATGCTAGAATGAATGCAGAAGCATTAACATTGATTACTCTGAAAGCAGAAGACTTGGACTCAAACAAATTTTCTGTTAAAAAGTGTATATTGAGTCTGGTCTGAATTGTTGTCTTCTTAGGACATTAGCCAAGGTAGAGCATTTAATATTGTGGGGAATATTGAGCACAGTAGTTGTGCTGCTCTCATAATAGCTGGCTTCCACTTAGCACTTCCCTGTGCTAGCCATCGTGCAAGCTACTCATTTTCACACTCAGGACAAACGTATGTGATACATACTATTGTTTTCACCATTTATGGAGAAGAAAGGAGCAATTGAGAGAACTTACACAACTTCATCTATGATAATCATGGACCATGAGTAAATATGACAGCTATCATTTCCCTTTCTGCAGGAGAATTTGACCTGTGGTTGACTTCCTAGCTCTGTTTCCGTGGTAACCTGATAAGAGCCAAATGTCAACTGTGTTTCTAGGAAACATCACCTATGATTAAAAATGACCCTTATCGGTTGCTAAATTGCATCTGGAATTGGGATGGCTGTATGGGAACTATACCAGAAATGGACACCATACGCTAGCCCTATGACTCTGGTTTTCCTCTTGCGGGTCCCTGGAAGCTGTACTTCAGAGAGATGCTGCTCAGACAGATGCTGCCTCTGCGGGAGTCCAGAATTGGCACAGGGGTGGCTTCCCAGTCTGCCTGGCGTGGGTTGGGTCTCGGCACCGCGAGCCCCTGGGCTGTGCAGGGCTGCTTGACAAGGAATGCTGCTTGAAGCTCCCCTGGGGCCTGTGTCCTGCATTCCTCTGAGTGGCCCGCTGACAGTATGGCCTTGGGAGTCACCCTGTTGGTCTAAATGGCCAGTGGAATCAAAAGGCCAACTTGGTGTTGGGCTGGTGGGTTTTGCAGTCCTGCAGCTAGCATGGAAGGAGCTCAGATCCGATCCTGGTGTCTGGCCTCTCCCCAGCCCGCTCCTGGGGGCTGAGTAACTTTGCTCAGGTTCCAGGGCTCATATTTATTAGAACCTAGTTGGTCGACTTCCAAAACCATGCTTTTAACCACCTGGAAAGGTCCACTTGCCACGGGGCTCACTTAGTCATGGGGGCTCACTTAGCCACATGTGCATACCTCGCTAGTGTCACTGGGAGGTGATCTGGTCTCGGCGGAGAGTAGGAAAGGTGAGCATGGGATTCCCATGTTTTATGCTTCTTTAGCTTCTTCCTCTCCTTTTCTCATCTCCCATCCTTCTCCCCTTCATCCCTTCCTACCCCTCCTTTTATTTTTAAATCTAATTTGAAGTTTTTTAGACTTACAGAGGATTTGGGCAAATGCTAGTGTTTGTATATCCTTTCACTTAACTTTCCCTAATATTGATGTTTTATGTAACCACAGTAGAGTTACCATAGCCAGGTAATTTCCCCTGGTGCAGTACCACTAACTAACTTACAGACCTGTTTCGATGTTCACTAGTCATGCCCCTTATGCACTTTTCCCCTTCCAGGGAGGACCCTAACTGCTGATCTTAGATTAGATCCCACTGTGGATCCCTTGCAATTTGTAAGAGTCCCACAGTCTGTCTTAAGACTTTGGAAGAGCACTGATCCGCTCTTTTGTCTGGGTTCATCTGGTGTTTTATGTGTGTGGGCTGAGGGTATGAATTTTTGGCTAGAATGCCATGGAAACATGGTACCTTGTTTTACGGGATCATAGCATTGATGTGTCATTGCTGGTGTTCGTTCTTCTTTCTTTTTAAAGTTGTTTCTCTAACCCACATAAACTCCAGCACTTTAGATCAGGGCATAGTGCGAGGAGCTCAAGTCCACATCCTTATTAAATTCGCATGCCAGGTCTGGCCAGGCTGCTACCATTTGTCCACATTTTAATAATAAGAGCCAAAGGCCAATGCCTCCTTCATATAAAAAGGCCAACCATGGCCCTCCCTGGAGGTACAACTGGTTAAAGCACAGCAGTATGAAGCTATTTGCAGCCACTGCAGCTTGAGTTCGATCCCCTGACCCAGAGGTGACCACATGGTGCAGCAGACCTCTCTTGATCCTCCCGCTACTCCCCTCAGCAGTGTACTTCGTTGATCTGCCTGTTCTGCTCCCTGCTCTGTCTCTGGTGGATCCTCTCACCACTCCTGCACCTCTGGCCTATACCCCAGTTATGTATGCATAAATAAATAAATTTTTTTTTAAAAGCCAATCATAAGGATGGCCTTAATATTGTTTTTCTGTTTCTGAGATGGTATGATGTTTATATAAGTGGCCCCAATACATTTTTTTTAAGTGGCCCCAATACATTCTTTTTTTTTTTTTTTTTTTTTGCTGTTGTAAATAATGCTATGGTTAAATATTTAAAAATTGAGCCCATTCTGGCCCTCCCTGGTGGTGCAGCGGTTTAAAGCACAGCACTGAGAATCTAAAGCCGCTTCCGCATGAGTTCGATTCCCGCCTGTCCCGGAGGTGACCACATGGCGTGGCAGACCTCTCCTGACCCGCCCGCTGCTCCCCTCAGCAGTGTACTTCGTCGATCTGCCTGTTTTGCTCCCCACTCTGTCTCTGGTGAAGCCTCTCACCACCCTTGAGCCTCTGGCCTGTACCCCAGTTCTGTATGCACAAATAAATAAATCTTTAAAAAAAAAAAATTTGAGCCCATTCTTTAAAATGCACATGAGCTTATCTGTATCTGTTAAGTCTGTGATCCAGGAGAGAGCCTGAGTGTTGTGAATTTTAGGTTCCTTTATACCCTTCTATATGCTACTAGGTGTCCTTATGGAGTAGATGGATGTGTAGATGGATAGATGGAAGGATGGGTGGGTGGATGGATGGACTGATGAATTCTCTAACCTCCTGATTTTCCAGGCTTGTATATCCATCTGTAAAACCTCCTTGCCTGTGTCAAAGAACCAATATAAACCCTTAGCTTCTTTCCTTCTAGATGTTGAAATGCTTCAGACATCTAACCCAAGCCCTAGAGACAGTATCTCCCGGACTACAAAGGACTCTATGATCCGCAAGTTTCTAGAAGGTAATTTGCAGCTATGAACAGGGAAGCCAAAAGAGGAAAAGAGAACTAAATGGAGGCTCAGCTGCAACACAGATAAACTGGAAAGTCCCTGTTCAGCAATCCTTTATGTTTGATGTGGTCGTTTTTTGCCTTCCTAGTATTGGCCCCTGAGAGCCTGACAGAGGCATCTTTAGGGACCTGTGTGCCTCTAAAAAGTTCTTTTGAAACCATAGATCTGGAGCCTCTGATAGGTGGGAAGAGGAGTGTGGTGATGAGGCAGGACCTGGGGCCAGGCTGCCGGATCTGTCCCTTCACCTCCGCTCATGTGGCCTTCAGCTGTGTGAGCAACAGGGAAGCTGGTGAAGGAGTTTCAGCGGGGATGAGCTTCTGTTATTGTAAATAGCACGATCAGACCAAGACAGGAACAGCTCAGAAACAGCCTCCATGTTGGTGCTGTCAGAGGAAGAAGGGAATCCACCTGCACAGATTTGAGTTCCTTTGAGATGATCTTAAACAATTTTCATTTTTTATAATTTCCATTTTTTGCCTTCCTAGTATTTGTTGGCCCCTGAGAGCCTCGAAGTAGGACATCTTTCTGAACACTTCTCTTGTTGGCAAGTGGAAGCCAAGCGAGTGGGTGCTGTCACGGCTGATGGGAGAAAGGGGGAGCAAGGGGCTCCCTGGCACAGAGCCCGCCCATAAAATTGGTACTTCTGACCCAGGGCTTCCCATGGTGGGCAGAGTGTGCCTACATGGAGAACATGTCACTAAGGGGAGCAGAAGTAACGCCTGCCCGTCCTCTACCCGTGTTGACTCTCCCACTTGTCACTGAAGCCATGAGAGCGCTCCCATTGTGGGAAGGGAAGGCTGTTCCTTACCTGGAATGCAGCAGCCCTGAGGGTGTCTAAGGGCCTGCCCCTGCCCAGATTGGAAAAATGTGGGAGGAGCTCAGAGCACCAGCCCTGGAGCCAGCTTACCTGGGCCACAAGCAAGTTTTGGGCAAGTTGTCTACATCTCCCAAAGCCCCAGTTTTTTCATTTGCAACATGAGAATAACAACTATAGACACCAGCTAGTAGTTAGTGGTTCAACTGTGAAAGGAGCTGATGGTAGTGGAGCGCTTTGGAACTTGTTGCATAGAGAGAGGCACAGAGGAAGTCTCAGGAAGGATTTGCTGAAGTAATTTTTGATACTAGAATGGGCATTCTGGAAGCTTTAATGTGAGGACCCTCAACACCGGGGGTGATTTCCAGTGCTTTTCGGCTCTGGGTGCAGGGCTTTTTTCCTTAGTTCTAGTGGGGTGACTAACTGAATCCCAGCAGTAAAACTGACTTGAAGGCTGGGCTCAGTTTCTCCTGCCCCATGGATGGGGAGCAAATGAAGGTGACATCAGTGGTTTTCTCAATTGGGTTCCGAGCAGACCACATGGAGATGATGTGGGGAGAACCCTTACCTAAGAGCAGTTCTATATATACACAGTCACTCTCTTGTTCCCTGTTCCCGTAAATGCAAGTACGTCAGCCTCTGCTTTCAGTTACCTTTCTTTGTGTTTCTAGGTAACAGCATGGAAATGGCCAGTTTGGAGAGAGAACCACCCCATGTTAGGCAAGAAAAGGACTCTTACCATACAGTGGATGAGGCTGAGGCCTTTCCTGTGGACCTGGCCACCAGGCCTCCTGTCCCAGTGCCCAGGCCAGAGACCAGTCCTCCTGGGGCTCTCCAGCTACCTGATAATGAACCATATATTTCTAAAGGTAAGTATGGCAGGGAATTGCCCACTCGAGTCGTCAGAGCTTCTGAGTTGGAGCTTCTGGATACTGTAGCTACAGACCAGTTGCTCAGACACTCTGCCCACTGAATGGCCTCCAAGTCAGAAGACCAGGTCAGAGCTCTGGGAAGATTCTGGAGCTAGACTAGAGGTTATGAGCAAACTCAGTTCTGGCTTTCCTAGAAGCCTTCACGTACAGTTCCAAAGACAGAGGTGAATAAGATTTTCTTTTTATGGTAAGAACCCTAGTAAATTTTTGTCTTCTGAACTTCTTTTTTCTGCTGCTGCTTAGTTTTTTATACCTAACATATACTGAAATCTATCAAAAGTGTTCTACCTAGAACTTGTCGTTTAATTACTACCATAACCTATAGGGTCAAGACCATTATTGCCCCATTTCTTTTTAAGATTTACTTATTTATGCATACAGAACTGTGATAAAAGCCAGAGGTGGCCCTCCCTGGTGGCGCAGTGGGTTAAAGCACAGCACTGAGACTCTAAAGCCGCTTCCGCATGAGTTCGATTCCCGCCTACCCCGGAGGCGACCACATGGTGTGGCAGACCTCTCCTGGCCTGCCCGCTGCTCCCCTCAGCAGTGTACTTCGATGATCTGCCTGTTCTGTTCCCCACTCTGTCTCTGGTGAAGCCTCTCTCCGCCCCTGAGCCTCTGGCCTGTACCCCAGTTCTGTATGCACAAATAAATGAATCTTTAAAAAAAAAAAAAAGCCAGAGGTGTAGGGGTAGTGAGAGGATTCACCAGAGACAGAATTGGGGAGCAGAACAGGCCAACTGATGAAGTACACTGCTGAGGGGAGCAGCAGGCAGGTCAGGAGAGGTCTGTAGTGCCATGTGGGTCACCTCCAGGGAGGGGATCAACCTCATGCTGAAGTGGCTTTAGCTTCTTAGTGCTGTGCTTTAACCCACTGTGCCACCAGGGGGGTTGGGCTGGGTGTGGAGAGCTGTTGGAACAGGGGTGCAGTTAGACTTGCCAGGAAAATAGAGAAATGAAGGGAAGGAGAGGGGCAGGAACTGACAAAGGGGTAGTGGGCTGGAGGTTAGAACACTTGACTTAATCGCCCAGCTTTTGCATTTTCCAGCTGTACAGTATAAGATATTGGGTGAGCATTTCACCCTTCTTAGCTTTAGTTTCCTCATCTATAAAATGAGTATCACAATCAATGTCTACACTGGTGTATGTGTAACGTCGTAATACATCATAATGCTCTGCGTGGCTTTATGAAGGTCAGATGAATAAGACATGGGGAAGTACTTTATAAACTATAAAGCACTGTGCAGATATCACTTGTGTTAACTAGCATGCCAAGGTCTTGCCCTCATATAAGCATCCTTCTCAAGGTTTAGCCAGGACACTGACCATGAGAGCTAACTTGGAGTGCTGTTGGGTACCAGCCACTGTTCTGAGCACTCTCCATGCATTAATTCATTTAAGTCCCACAACAATCCAATGAAGAATTATCATTATCATTATCATTCTATAGATAAAAACAGTGAGGCAAAGAAAAATCAAGCTTCTGGTGGAAGCTCCCATGACCGATAAGTGTGGGGCCAGGATTTGATTCCCGAGAGTCTGGGCAAAGCCAGGGGGCCATTATCTCCATGCTGTGAGTGCTGAGTACACCCAGTGTGCCCTGGTAACCTTCTAGTTCTGGCACTCGTGAGTGAGCTCAGGGTTTCTTCAGAGCCAGGCACACAACCTACCTGTTCCTGGCCCGGGGTTCTGTCTTATGACACTTGTGTGATATTTGTGGCACCTCCTTTTCCTAAGCTTCAGCACACCACAGTTAGCACCGAGGTCTGGCCTGCATCCTTGCTCCGTTGCTTGTCTTCCTGGCTCTGAGACTTTGTTGGTTTGTCTTTAGGTCATAATCCTACAGCTTCCATTCGTTAGTTGCTCCCCACTAGAGTTTTGACTTAGAGAACTGCATGTGGTAGTTGAAAGGGTGATCCATTATTATTATATTTCGTGTAAGATTTTTGTGATCTTTTTAGTGTATGAAATAGTATAAAGTCCTTTAGAAAGTTATCTGGTTTGGATCTTACCTAGAATTTTCTTTACTTCATAGTTTTTGCAGAAAAAAGTCAAGAACGACCTGGGAATATCTATGTTTCCTCAGAGAGCTTCAAGAAAGGTAAGCCAGATGTTGCCCTCTGTTCCTTTTGATATGACCTGAGCCTCCTTGTGGCAGAAGTGTTTATGTGTCAGTGCTTTTCAAATATAACAACCACCTGCTAGCAGTGAAAAGCAGAGCAGTCTTAGAGATACCTCAGGAGGAGCTTTCTGGGGGCCCTGCACTGCTGGTAAAGGGAGAAGAGAGACCAGGGTGCCCTGGACGTTACAGAGAACTCAGGCGAGGTAATCGGAGTGTCCCTGGAGCACTCACAGAAGTATGGAATGTCCCTGGAATGGCTCACAGAAGTACAATAACAATGTGGAAGTGGAATCTGGTGCCCAAGGATGAAATGGGCAGGCCAGCATCCAGCCTTCACCTAGTGACACAAACCTAGCATGCTCTTCACTGAGCCTACGTATCCCAGTTGTACTATGCTCCAACTCAACTGTTGTTGATGAGACAAATGGGCTTATCATTGGGTAATAGCTTGGATGTGTCATATTTTCTTTCTTTTGAAGACTTTTAAAGGAAGTTTGAGGAGATAAATGCTCTATATTCTTGTGTTAACCAGAGCCAGAGGCACCCAGTCTTAGCCCACCAATGACTTTTTTTTCTAAAGATTTATTTATTTATGCATACAGAACTGGGATAAAAGCCAGAGGTATACGGGCAGTGAGAGGATTCACCAGAGACAGAGTGGGGAGCAGAACAGGACGACTGACGAAGTACACTGCTGAGGGGAGCAGCGGGCGGGTCAGGAGAGGTCTGCTGCACCATGTGGGTCACTTCCAGGGCAGGGATCGACCTCATGCTGAAGTGGCTTTAGCTTCTTAGTGCTGTGCTTTAACCCACTCTGCCACCAGGGAGGGCCCGCACCAATGACTCTTTTAAAAAACAGCCATGATGCCAGCCAAGCAATTGAAGCCCTTGCCAAACTTTTTTTGTAGGAGACTGGAACTGATTGGTACATTTTATTTTCTCTCCATTATCCTGAAGAGGGCAGAGCTGGGAGATAAGTGTATGAGTGTGTGTAGACAGATGAATGAACTGTTGGTCAAACTTCTTAGGCTTTTTCAGTCCCCACTGGTGAAGACCTCTCCTTTGCCTTCCTTTCTTCCTGAATCACAATGTCCATGTGGAGTCCTGCTAGGAAAATGTAGACTCAAATGTAACCCTACATGAATTGGGCAGGTGTCCTCACCTGCAACAATGTCTCCATCACCTCTGCAAGTAGGTTGTTCACCGCAGAACTTAGTGGAGTCACAGCAGGGATGGAAGGGGATTCCTGTAGCCCTAGAATCTCCAAAGCAAAATACTACGAACTGGCAACATCAAGGAGAAGCTGGCACGGGAACAACAAAGGAGATCCTGTTGCTACCCAGCATCTAATTTTTACCTGGTGACTTTGTACTTGAGTGATGATTCCACCGGTGTAACGATCTCTTTGAGCCCCTCATGTCCATCGGTCCACAGTCACTGTGACCCGTGCTACTCAGAGGCTAGGAGGGTGGGGAGGGCTAGGAGTGGTGCTAGGAGCAGATGTGCTAGACGCTTCTTGTGTTGGCTCTTCTGGGACGAGATTTTAGTCTAAAGCAGTGGTTCTCAACTGGGGGTAGGGTGATTTTGCTCCCTCCCTTTATTTGGCAATACCTGGGACACCTTTGGTTGTCTTAACTGGCAAAGGGATTGTCATTGGCATCTAGTGAGTAGAAGTGAGGAAGAGGCTAAATACCCTGCAATGCACGGGACAGCCCTGCAACAAAGAATCACCTGCTTCACAGTGTGAGCAGTGCCCACCTTGAGAAGTGCTGGTCTAAAGGCTTCTCGCTAATTCAGACCGGGGGGACCTGTCTGACTCATCAGTGGCTTTCATCTCTCTCCAAAATGTCATGGACTTGTCTATTTTAGAGTAACAGGCTTCGAAATAATTAGCTGCTTCCTTCTCCCCGACTCCCTGCCATACCTCCTCTGCCTCATTCCACATGTGAGTGTTCCTTAGCCTGTGAGCTGCCTCATTAGCCTCACTCAGCGGGGTTGCTGCCAAACTGAGTTTTGCCATCCTTTCCAGAGCCTCCTGTCAGACCGTGGAGGGATCGGCCCCAGTCGAGCATCTATGACCCTTTTGCGGGGATGAAAACACCAGGTCAGCGGCAGCTCATTACCCTCCAGGAGCAAGTGAAACTGGGCATCGTCAACGTGGATGAGGCCGTGCTCCACTTCAAAGAGTGGCAGCTCAACCAGAAGAAGCGGTCTGAGTCTTTTCGCTTCCAGCAGGTAACTAGTTGCAGAAGGACCTTGTTCACATCTGCTCCCCTGGCCTGTGGCGGAGGCCTGGACCGCGGCCCTCTTGCGTGTGGCTGTAGCTCGGCCTTGGCATGTGCGTTTGAGCATCAGTGTGGGTTAGCGTGGGTGTCAGTCAAATGTGGTCTGGAACCACATGTCTCCCTGGTTGGGAACTGGACGGCTTTTCTGCTTGTCCCCCGGCTAGACACCAGGAGTAAAAGACGTGGCAGGAAACCTGAAATCTAGGGCTGCCTGTCCCTCTGCTTGCAACCCTGTGCTTTCCCCATCCAGCTCTTTTTCTTTCCAGAATTCCTTTAATTCTTTCTCTGCTCTAACGCCAACACTCCCACAGAACTATCACACTTTAGAACCCAAAGGGAATTTGGACAACTCCCCAGATGTAGGATTAAATGAGCCAAGCAAGCTGCAGATATAACCAGCCACGTAAACACACACTCACACAAACTCTATTTCTATAGGCAGGTAGCAGAGGCCAAGACACAGACCTGGACAGGGCTGCCCTGAGCCCATCCTGTCACTTACCTTCCAGGCAGAGGCAGGGAAGGGGGCCATGAGGTGTCAGAAGAGACTCCTACCTATATGAGAATGTGTTATTCTATACTGCTGTGCTCCATATGTAGCTTAAAGGCTAAAAACAATTCAGGCTTGCTTTTAGGAGGCACATCCCTAGTGCCATTCCTTCCGATTAAAGAGGTGAAGACATGTCCGTGGAAGGCTTTCCCAGGTGAGCCAGGACTGGCCAGGGGCACAGCCCCATCCGTGATGGAGCCGTCTCCTTGCAGTAGAGACATGGCTGTCTACAGTGACAGCTGGGAAGTGAGTCTTAAAGCAGCATTTCTGCGGCTCTGACAAGTCTGCTGGCCTTGTGCTGGGCCTCAAATACACCAGGTTTCTTGGCAGCTCTTGGCTCACCTGTGAAATAAGTGTCAAGTCTCTCATTCTATCAAGGCCCGAGAGGTGGAGCGGTGGAGTCAGAGTTCAGAGGTGCCTCAGCCTCCAGAGCCTGCGCTCCTTCCCTACCACCCCTGCCTCCACTGTGCTCCTCCGCAGGGCCTCTGCTGGCCAGTGGCCGCCCTGGGTGCCTAAAGAAGGAGCAGGACCAGAAGCAGGCTGTGGTATGAACCGGGGTCTCTCAGGCAGGAGATCTGGGGAGGCTGCTGTCCTGCTGGGCACTGTGACCCTGACAAGCGGCAGGTTTTATTCCTTCCTGCCAACTCCCGTGCCCACAATCAGAGTGACTTTTCCAGTCTGGCCTCTTCTGACTCTCTCATGGAAACGTCTGCTCTTGCAGATGGTCTGGACATTGGTACCTGAGGCATTTTCCCTAGAATGCACATTTTCCCTAGAATATCTAACCTTGAGGTGGTGATTGTTTTGACTAAAATGGCGACAAATCCGGCCTGCACACCTCTATCTAACATTTATTGAGTGACTACAATAGACCAAGTTGTAGGGTCTCACAAAAGCACAAGACTGGTCTCTTGTGCTTCAAGAAGTCAGTCTTTCTGCAGACCCTCTCCCCCTTCATACACACACACAGAAGTGCTTGTGTGGGGGGCAGCATTAGCCATTAGCCAGTGCCAGCTGGCATGGGCCATTAAGGACATCTAGAGAAGTCTGGCAAAGCTTTAGGGAGAAGTTGAGCTTTGGCTCAAGCTTGGAGCAGATTCACAGCGAGGAATTGATGCCGTCAAGATCAGGGAAGCAGTGTGAGAACACAATCATAGAAGTAGCAATGTGTGTGGAGAGCTGGTGCACAGGTAAAAGACTGGCGTGGCTAATGGCATGCAAGGAGCAACGGGGCCATTACATGCTGGGATGGAGCTGAGAAGCAAGGGGGAGGGAGACACTCTGGAGGACAAGGTGTCTTTTCTTCAGACACAACTTCTTAGAGTACTTGGATTTCTCTGGGGGTCTGTTATGAATACATTCAGCCTCATTTGCATGTTGGAGATGTTATTGCAATGTGACATATTTTGCAAACAGCTTAAAATTAGAAGGAAACCCAAACGCCCAGAGGGTGTAATTCTAGTGTATACTTTAAAAATAAACTAAATTTTTTTCCAGGAAAATCTTAAACGGCTAAGAGATAGCATCACCCGAAGACAGAAAGAGAAGCAAAAGTCGGGAAAGCAGGCAGGTACGTGGCTCCCTGGGGTGCTGGGGCACTTTGCCATGAACTATTCTCAGCACTCCTTTCTGCCCAGCCTGGGTGGGCAAATTGTTTGTCCTGCATTTGCAACCCTGTTTACAGATCTGGACCCCTCACTGGACTGGGAAATCCTTTTGGGCAACAGTTTCGTCCGTTTTTTTTTCTTCTTCTTCTTCTTCTTCGTCTTCTTCTTCTGGGTCTCTAATACCTGGTGTATAAGACGTGACAATGAACAAGCGAATGGATGAATGAATGCACTCAACCCTGTGTTCCTCCACCCCATTCAGATAGGATGGCAATGCTTTCTTCCCAGACATGTGACACGCCCCCCCCCCCAACTTGGTATTTAAAGAGATATGTTTTTGGAATAGGAAAGAGAAAATTCCATTCACAAAATGTCTGTTTCCAGCTCACGCAGGAATTGTGTCCATGGGTGTCCACAGCACACTGCTCAGAACCCAGGGCTTGGGGTGGCCGAGCTTCCGCCCGCGCTGTGGGGGTCCAAGAGCAGAGCTGTGAATTCCTTGTGCACACTTGCCCCTCTGATCCCCCAGATGCCACCCATGTGCACCTCCACCCTGGGTAAGGATTGGGCATTTGCCCACACTGTATTTTCCACTGAGAGCCTCAGGTGTGGTGGGTCTCTATAATTTACTTTGATCTACCTTATTCCAAGAGAAACTGATAGTAAAAGCCTTTCAGAGGCTTTTGGATCCCAAATGGGCTCCTGTTACTTAAAAACTAAGTACATGACTTCCATAGTCTGTCTCCCACCGCATCAACAGTCTGACTCCCATGAACCCAGCCAAGTTGCTCACGCCCTGCTCTTCAGGTTGCAACTTCCTTCCCATCTGCATTAAACTACTGGGTGGCAAGACCCAGCCCTGACAGCCAGCCCTTTCCCAGCGAGGCCTGCTGGACCGTTTTAGGCCACTGGGCACCTTCCTCCTCTGAGCACCTCTGGAGCTACTCTCCGTTCCATTCCTCCGCCACTTCTCCTTTGCTGCTCCCGATCACTGGAACTTCATTCCGTCATTTGCACAGTGCAATTCCCAGGGATCCCCAACATATCTTAAATCTGATCATCGCTGACCGTGGTGCAGCTGCCTGGAGCCATCATCTCTTCCTGGGTCAAAGCAGGAGCCCCCCCAATTGTCTCCAGATGTCCTTTCTTAGCCCTCTACAGTTAATTCTCAAAAATGCAGCGACTGACCTTTTAAAAATAAAAACCAGATCATGTCTCTCCCTTACTCGAAGGCTTCCAGGGGCTCTTGGCCTGGCCAGAGTAAAAGCACATTCCTGCCTGCAGCCTACAGGGCCCGACAAGATGCAGGCTCCTCCACTTGCGGCCCCGCTCCATGCTCTGGCCTCAGTGGATCCTTTCTGTTGCTCTAACCCTCCAAGAGAACTCCTCCGGCTGCCCTCCCCTCTCCTTTATAGGCTGTCTCTTTTTCAGCCTTCAGAGCGATAGGTTCTCCTCCACAGAGAGCCCTTCTCTGTAATGTCCAGAATCAGCCTCCCACGAGTCCCACGCTGCGCCCTCTTTCCCATTCCCTCACACACAGGTGGAATCATCTTGCGTTTCTGTCCTCGTGGATGCCCCAGTCCTCCACCCGCACCTGTTGCTGTAAGCAACATGAGGAAAAGAACATGTCAGCTTTGTGCGCGGCTGAGTCCCTAGCGGGTAGCACAGTGACGTGGCGGAGGTCATGACCCTGTTGCTGGAGCGCTTGATGTCATCAGCATGCTCGGTGACGTCATCCGTTCCTTCTGCAGGCACCCTGCCAAGGACAGAGAGCCCTAAGCACGAGTCTTCACCATGGGTCAGGGAGCTCATGGGTCAGTCCTCTGTGGGTGCGGCTGTGGCGTTCCCTGCTGGAGCCCTCCACAAAGCCAAGCGAACCGTGATGACTTTGTTTGGGAGAAAAGGGTTAAGGCAGCTCTGTCCGTGGCGGAAGTCAGAGGTCATCCTAAGACTTCTGCTTGGGTGTCTATATTTTAAATGTATGTTACCGCTATGCAAGCTCACACGTGTGTGCCGCCTGAGTGGAGGAGTGAGAAGAGAAGGTAGAAAATTGGATTAAAGATCTGCAGAAATCCTCAGGGTATTATGGGCCAGACAGCAGGGCATGAGGTGGTAGAAGGGCTGAAGCGATGCACTTTGTAAAACTAGAGCCCCTGAGTCCCGACAGGGATGCCTTAATTAAATGAAACACTTGAAGCTTTTAAATAAGAGCAGCACCAAGTAAACCTAAGATTTGGTGGTACATGCTGTGTTTAACGCCAGAGTCACGGTGGTGCTGGCATCCCATGCACCTGGTAACCTGGGCTTCAGGACGAGCCTACCGGGGGCATCATGCCCTTGCCCCCAACCTGAGTACTCAGTGGGCTCTGGAGATCTTGAAGCAAGACAGACAAGCATGGTGAGGAGGAGAGGGTGCAGGGGTGGGCTCTGGGCTGGCAGGGCTGGAGTCAAGCTCCTACCCATGGCTCACCTTTCACCAGCTGGCGTCCATGGGCACAGGCTTCATCAGCCTGAATCTGAGCCCAGAGCTGCAGAGTAACACAAATAAAGCTGTCTACCCCTTTGGGGTTGTTGTGGGGATTGAGCAAGTTAGGGTAGACCCACATATAGTACATTGCCCGGCACTGGAAACACATGTGAAAACCACCCCACACCAGCTGACGCCCTCTCAGACAGGGCTCCCATGGTGAGGAGGATGGGTGGGGACTCACCACCCAGGCCTTCACCAGGAGCCATGGATTTTCAAACATGACACCAAGTTCTCCCAAGGCTCACCGGGCCCTGGGTAGGTGTTACACACCAGTAGCCGTCGCCGAAACACTCGTGGTCAATGTCCACATTTTCCCAAAGGACCATGTTTTAGTCTGGCCCCCTCCTATTCCTCAAGGGGGCAGATGCTTGGACTTGGAAATTGGGGGGCTAGGGGGCAAAGACTGGATATTTTTACTTTTTACATCAAGAGCTCGATGTCCTAACCAAAGATTCAGCTATATATAATTTGACACTGGGAAAATTAGGGATTGCAAGTGAATCTTCTATCCATCACCCCAAGAATATACCTCCATTTTAGTTCTTTACTGTGGTAAAACAGTTATAACATTTACTATTGGGTCGAAGTGTTCAATTCAGTGGCATTAAGTTCATGTACAATATCAAGCCGCCACTACCACTATTCTCTTCTAAATTTTTTCTTCCCTGACAGGGATGTGAGAGCTAGTATGTGATCTGGAAGGTGACCCCAGGGAATAAGCAGGGATGGGAAACAGGGCCAGGGAAGGAAAGGAGATTTGCAGAGGGTACTTACCCCTGGCCACTGGAGCTTCATCCCCCTGGGGGTTCTCAGAGTCAATAGATAACAGCCTGGAAGAGTTATCCCTCCACAGGGGCGGGAGAGATGGGGCTTTGAGCACCAGCACCATCCTCTTTGGTGGAAGCCTGCTGGCTCCAGAGAGAGCTTCAGGCAGTCAGAAGGTGGACCAAGCTCCCATGCTGAGTCTCAGGACAGCAGAACATCTGCCAAAGAGAGGGCATCATATGTGGCTAAGTAAATGTGATATATTAGTTACCTCCATAAAACTAGATTATATGCTAACTTAAACTGCCATTTTCACACTGAGCTGCTTGCTAAGTTGTGTTTGTGGGAAGGAAGGGTAAGAGGGACAAGGGGCAGTTGGGAGATACCATAGGGAGTAGATAAGATTGAGGCAGGGTTTGGGGCCTCTTGTCTGCCCCGGGCCATTGCAGATTTTCTGCATTGAGCTTCTGTTCTCACTAGAGAAAGAATTCTCCTTCACAGAAAACATTTGGAAACAGCCATCACAGGGTAACGTTGATCTATAGGGAAGTGAGAGTTGTGATGAACGGACTTCTGCTTAAAGAGCCTCTTCCAGTGTTGGGGCACACTCTACACGCAAGGACTGACTCCATGCAGTTGGAAACCTCATTTGTCTCAGGGAAGAAAAAAGAATGATTGTTTTTCTTTACTTTGAGTTAGAATGCCAAGAATAATTAGAAGCTCAGTTTCTGTTTATAATAATGTAGCAGTCTTTCTTCAGCCCTAGGGAGTTATTTTACTCTTCTTGGGACATTGCAGAGCATAGATGGTATAGATTGGGGTGGTGGGGGTCTGGGGTGACCTGTGACTAGTTGAATACCCCACAGGGAAGATAATGTTTGTGTTCTGGGTTGTTCTGGGCCCACTTATGGTAGGACCAGAGGAGCAGGCTGAGTCCAGGAAACCTGGGTTCGAGTTCCTGCTCTGTCACTGAGTCGTTTTATAATCCAGGACAATTCTTTTCACCACTTTGTGCCTCACTTTCTTCATCCACGGCTATATCTGACTTTTCCACTGGATTAAGAAACACTGAAAGTCAGAGGAAGTATAAAAAGGCATGTAGACTTGCTTTGGGAGAAGTGTTATGCCACAACACTCCTACCATGTTGCCCCTTCATTCAAAGGATATCAGGATGTTGTAGACACTTAGACTGACGCTACTTGATTTTTTTCTAACTTTTGATTCCTAGCACTTTTTCCTGCATTTTTTTCTTTTCTTCCTCAAAGAACTGGCTGAAGGTAGAAACTTGACTCATTGAAGTAAATTGCCCTCTAAACGCATGTTGCTAGAAAGCTGGACTGAAGCCCAGGGGGGAATATGTATGACAGCTACTTGTGCTCTAAGACACCAAGCACTCATGCCACACGCAGTACACCAGCTAGTTTCTGGCCCTTGTGCACACACCCCAGTGATTGTCCCTTTTAACTTCCCTGTGCTGATGTTTCCTGTGCACACATCAGCTTATCCTGGCACTGCCCTTTCAGACTGTTCCTGTTTGCCCATTTGCCCTGGCACCTGCCTCCTGAACTTCCTGCTGCACCCATAAAGGAGAGGTGGAGGAGGAAGTGGCCCCACGGAGATTGGCTCCACATCCCCCAAAGTACACTGACCTCACACTCCTCCTGAGAGGCCCTGCCCAGGCTTTGACAGTGGAGACCTCTGGAACTTGAGGGGAGCCCTGTGACAGGCTCCCCTGGGCTTATCAGCAGGAGTTGTTTTCTGCTCATAAAACCCAGGAATGAAAATCTAAGGGGTAAAGACTAGTCAGAGGGGGGGCTAGACCAGTAAAGAGACCAGTTTAATGCTCTGCAAAGGAATAATCTCTCCTTGTGAATCTGGGACCTAAAACGGTTGATCATTAAAAAAAACAACTCAAGAAATAAAATAACGTAAAACCGTGCAAGTCACAAAATCTTTTGGGGAGCCCTGGCTTTCCTCTCATGAACTCTCTGGTTGCTGCTGTTAGCTGTGGCCCACACGCCAAGCCTGCCATTTGTTAAGGGATTAAGAGGCAGTGTGAGTCCTACTGGAGAGGCTGAACTTTGGAATCTGGCTTCAAATCCCAGCCGCCCACTTGCCAGCTGTGTGACAGGGATGCGCTACTTCACTTCTCTGGGTGATAGTCTCCGCTGGATAGGATAATAATCGCTTTTATTTCATGAGTGTGGAGGAGTCAAAGAGCTGAAAATTCAGAAGCTCTTAGAACTCTGCCCGAGGCACAGGATGACGTGTTACTGAAATCAATGCTCTTAACCTTCTCCTTGGAAAAGGGAGACTGAGCCTGACTGACTGACTGGCTAAGTCCACAGCTGGGGGATGGCATTGCCGGCTGCAGGCCTTTCCCCAGTTGCATTCTTTACACAACTGACCCCAAAGCATGTCTCTGCCCTTTGGTATTCCCGTGCTGAGTTGGGCAGGGTCCTCTCCCTGCCTTCCCATCAACTCTCCTTCCCCCTCCTCCCCCCTCCTCTCCCCCCCTCCTTTCACACCCCCCCTCCCCTTCTCTTCTCCCTTTTCTTTCCCTCCTCTCCCTACCCCTCTAGGCCAGGTGAAGGAGGCAGGTAGAGCGGAAGCAACTGAGCAGTTTGGTAAGCGGCAGAACTGGCACCTTGAGACTTACACCCTTTTCTTCTGATTGCAGACCTGGAGATCACAGTCCCGATTCGGCACTCACAGCTCCTGCCTGGGAAAGTGGAGTTTGGAGTCTATGAGAGTGGCCCCAGGAAAAGCGTCTTCCCCCCAAGGACAGAGCTGAGACGGGGAGACTGGAAAACAGACAGCACCTCCAGCACCGCAAGTGAGCAGGCGGGCCGGGCCCTGCAGAGCAGGACTCCACATTGGGCCTGGGAAACGTTTTTTTCAGGAGCCCAGAAGATCCCCACTGGAGACTGATTAGGGTTTGGTTAAGAAAGGGGGTCATTTAGCCTGCTGAGGTTTACCTTTTGTCAGGGGACTGAAGACCTTTCAAACAAATATCCCTGGAGGCCTGATGGTTAAGATGATTATTACTGTATTCCATTTATAAATAGAAAAACCTGGAATCCTACTAGTTACCTGTTACTGAGCATGGGTTATATGCTAAGCCTCATCCACAGATCCTGTGATGTAAGTCTCACGCTAGCTCTGTGAGATCGGCGCTCTTGCCGTATTTACTGAGGAAGGACATGGCTAAGTACCTAGTTAGTGCTGTAGCTGGGATTTGAACTTAGGTGGTCTGGAACCAGGGCCAAAGCCCATAGCTCCTACTCTCTGTGCATCCTCAGTTGTGGGGAGGGAGAAGGAGAGGGAAGGGCACAAAGTCAAAAACATGAGGAAGTAGTGGACTCAAATTTGAGAATTTCAAGTTGAGGGTCCAATTAGCAAATGTCTGCCTTTTGGCTTGAAAGCTTGAATACAAGTTGGATTGCAACAGACAATATATGCGGATATGCAGTCGGGAGCTGGGCTTTGTTTTATGTTCAGGGCCATGTCAGCTTCACAAGCCAAATAGATGGAGTTTCCCTTCTGTCACACATTTTAGTGTTAGCCAATCAAGGAGAGCGATCTGCTAGACACAGCTGAACTTCAGCACTCAGGTCTCCTTAAGTGTCTGGCCAGGAGCCCTGACATGACAGCAGAACAGGAAGGCCATCTAGCCCGGGATCTTCATCTTATCTGCCTCACAAATCCCTTTAGTAATATGGCCTATGGTCCATGCACTTCCCAATACGATGCATGGGCCTATGTAAACACACGCACACACACACAATTTTGTCTACTCATGGACTCAGATCAAGAGCCTCTGACATCATTCCCCTCCTTATTTTATAAATGGGTATTTGTAATCCAGAGAAGGAAAGCGTTTTTTTTTCATGGCCACACAGCCTGTAAGTGGTAAAGGTGAGAGTCAAACCCAGTGTTCTCATTCAGGCTAACCTTCCTGCCACGGTTACCTGCTGAAAGAAACCCAAAGCTTAGCACACGACCACACAGGAAGTCAAGCCACGACAGAGGAGAAAACCTCTCCTTACACAACGGGGGTGATATTGTGTGCCCAGAACTCACTTGGGGGGGGGGCGGGATTTAGAAAGACAAGCTCAGAAATGGGAGCGATTTTCCCAGTTACAGGGGCAGGTGTCAGAGAGCTCCCGGAGGAGAGAAGTGGTATGGACTTGCTTGGGGTTCGAGCAGTACTTCTCGGGCTGGGGAAGGGAAGTTTAATAAAGCAAGAGCAAAGTACTCATTTCAGTTTCCTTTAGAAGATTTTATATGTATGGGTTAGCCTGGGGTGGGACCAGGGTGGGAAGTGTAAACTGGGCTTCTTATCTTGCACCGTGGCCCATTGCCCAGGGACGGCTAGCTCATCTGGCTAGGAAATGTTGCCAGTGACAATTTGTGGGTTTTATTCCACTCTGTGTCCTGTAGACTGTACTCAGCTCCTGCCACCTTTTCCATCAGTAGGTTTGCTGTGGCTCAAACCACCCCAAAACATAGTGGCTGGAAACATAACCATTCGTTTATGCCTGATTCTTAACCTAGGCAGACTCTTTGGGGGTGCCTCATCTTCTCCTCAGTGTGGGGCATTTGGGGTCACTCATGCAACTGTATTCAGCTATGACCTTGAGATGGGATTGTCTGACTATGGCCTCTAAATTCATTAGCATGAACAGATTTGTTTGTTTTAATTTCCTTTATTGCCATTTGTAATTCCTTATTTTGAATTGGGTTTAAAATTCAGTACAAATCTTCTTTAATCTTGTAGCAAATCGCAAAGCCAAGCCAATAAAAACAGTGCTGCCCATGGCTTTTACCATAGGACGGTGGCTGGGGTCAGTCGTGAAAGTGGCAATATTGATCAGTTGAAGCTGAAATTTCCTTCTTCCTGATTAACTGTTATCTTCCTTTTTCACTGCTGGATCTCCTCGGGCTTGAACTTGTTCTAGTGCTGTACTGTCCGGTAGAGCAAACTCTAGCCATGTGTCGTTATTTATGTTTCAGTTAATTCAAAGTGAATGAATTTAAATTTTAGTTCTTCAGTTGAAGTAAACATATTTCAGGCTAGCTACTAGATCAGATGGCACACAATAGAACGATTCTAGAAAATTCTGTTGGCTAGAACTATTCCAATCATAATAGTTGATACATTCCCAACTTTTCAAAAGCCTTGAGCATGAAGTCATAGTACCTGTCATAAACATAAATTACACTTTCAAATTTTTGTGTTTTGTTTTGGGTCAAATGGTCCCTCATTAATAGGTGAGCATATACATATGACTCACATACACATTCGCTGTAAATCTTAAGTAGCAGAAAACCACGGCAGCAATTATGGGCAAATCACTGAACACGCGAGAAATGCAGCTTCTCTGCTTTCTTGTCTCTGAAATCAGATCATGAACACCAAGTAGGAGTGCCATCTGAGTTAGGCAGTCATGATTACAAGCATCTAGTTTGTCGTCAGCCCTCAGTAAATGGCAGCCATAAAGTCCAAGAAAGGTAACAAGAAGGTGAATCATTTTGTTTTGTGCTGAAAGAAAACAGAATTCTAGTAAATTGGTATAAAATGGGGGCATTTTGAAGAATTCCACGTTCACACTTGTGCACTGTTTCTATCATGGGAAGCAGCAGAGTCTGCATTTTGCTTGCTCTTGAGTGAATCCACAGTCTGGCTGACTTTGTTTGTACTCCATAGGCAGCGCAAGCAACCGATCCAGCACCCGGAGCCTCCTCAGCGTGAGCAGTGGGATGGAGGGGGACAACGAGGTGAGAGCCCACCTGTCACTGGGGTCACTCATTGCAAGAAGTAGAATGCCCCAGGAAAGAGAAACACAAAAGGTCATGTACTGTGGGATTCCATTGTATGGGATGTCCAGGCAGGTGGAGCCGCAGAAACAGAGGGCAGATTGGTGGTTGCAGGGCTGGGGAGAGGGGAAAAGAGACGATACTGCTTCATGGGTACAGTGTTTCCCACTGGGATAATCCCTTTTGGATTATCTGAGACTAGATAGAAATGGTGGTTGCACAACTTTGTGAATGTGCTGGGTGCACTGAATGGTTCGCTTAAAATGGTTAATTTTCTGCTGTGTGAATTCACTGTAACGGGGGTGGGTGGGTGGGGGGAGAAGTGGCACTTTAAGGCAAAGGGCATCCGTCTCTGAGAAGGGGCTGGCTGAGCCATGGAGCCACTGTCACAGCCTGGGTCGGGAGTGGAGATGCCTGCAGAGCCAAGGCCACGCTGGGGACTGGGGCCGCTACCTGCTGCTTCGCCTCTGCTTCTTTGTGCACTTCACTATCTTCTCTCCCTGCACACTGGCTTTTCCTGCACAGCCCCTGTGAGCCTCAGGGCTCTGAGCAGAGAGACTCAGCTGCTGTCATCTGGGGCTGAGGCGCAGTGCGGTCAGGAATCCTGATGCAGTGACGCGGCGACAGGGTCGTGAGCGGGAGGTGACCCCTTTGCCAACCCAGGACGCTCCTTGAAAAAGAGTCCTGGCAGGCTGGCTCCTCTGGGCACAGTCGTGTCACCCTGCGACTGAGGTCCACTCAAGGCTCTGTTGTCCCCAACAGGGACTTTTGCTTAGAAGTAAAATCTCTCCAGCTCTGAGTGCTTCTCAAACTTTAATATGCTTAGGAATTATCTGGGATCTTGTTAAAACACCGGTTCTGGGTGGGATTAAAAACCCCACCCAGCGGGGTGGTCACTGAGCCTGCCATTCTCACCAGCTCACGCAGGATGCTGGAGTTGGGGCTCAGCAAGGACTGAGGACTCAGGCCCGCATGAGAACCTGGGCCAGGGCCCCTCCATGCCTCTGCATAGAAGCTGTCCAAGTGCTGCTGGCTGATTGGCAGTTTCTGAACTGCTGTCAGCCCAAACCTGAGAAAGGCTGAGGGGCTTTGGGCTGTCTAGCTGCGCTCTTTGCCTAATGTCCTTTCACCTTTCTGCTGTAGGACAATGAAGTTCCCGAGGTCACCAGAAGTCGGAGTCCAGGCCCTCTGCAGGTGGACGGATCGCCAGCCTTGCCCCTGGAGAGGCCCCCCAGGGTGCCCCCCAGAGCCGCCTCCCAGAGGTAACACTGATGCCCATGTGATAGTTACCCTCCCTCTCTGGATTCCAGATGGAAAGTAGAATTTGGGGACTTCTAAGATGACCTAAGAATGAGTGCAGAGCTCCCTGAAATGCCAACTTTGGGCACATTTTTAAATAAGATTCTTTAATATCTCTGGTGCTTTACTCACTGGAAAGCATTTTACATGGCTAATACATTTCATCAGCACATTTCATACTGGGCTCTGATGTATGTCTTTGCTCATAACAGCCCTTGGGCTTCTGGAAGGAACCTTCTGAAGGTCTCAGGGAGAAACAGAAGAAGTATCCAAGCTAGCTCGTGTGTCTGCTCATGCAGAAAGGAGCCCTTGGACATAAAGATGAGGCTTTGCTGAGGAATTTAATTCTTTGTGGGGAAAAATAATTTAAAGGAAGAACATTTTTATAGAACCTGGATTTTTTTTTTTAAACTTTGAATTCCAATGAATCTGATCAGTAGAATTTGTCAAGAAAGAGCCTCAAGGAGGATGGGGTGAGAAGCTCTGTTGTAGGGTCCGTCCATTTCTCCTGTGCTGGTGACTGCTTTTCTTTCTGTGTCTTCCAAACTTTCATGTATGAATACTTGTCGTGCAAACTCCTGCAGTCCCAAACTGTATCCTCTATACCAGGCATATTTCCCTGGTATAGTCTAAGGTCATGTATGGAACGTTAGCCTTAATGTGAACTATAGTGAAAGTCTAGTATAATCCCCTGAATTTGCATGATGTTCTGTTACTTAAAAATTATTATACAGCTGCCTGTTGGGGAGAGGTATTTATAGAAAGCAATTATGTTAGTATTTTTGTGCACTTACTATGTGCTTTTCATTATGTTCATTGCACTAAATACGTTATTTCATTTAATTCTCTCCCTAATTCTAAGAGGTATATATTTAGTAATTTCCCATCTTGAAGATATAGAAAGTGGGGCTTGAGGCAGATCTCTGCCTGACTGTGACTACTCAGGGCCCTCTTTTTTTCCTAATAAACCTGTCCTTGTTAAAAAAAAAAAAAAAAAAAGCAAAGACAAAAAAGAGTGGCGCTTGAGAGTGGATTGAGACCTGCTTTGTGTGGCAAACTTGGGTGTGCTTGATGCCAGGACCCAGGCTCTTAGAGATTTGTCACACCTCCCCAAGAAGGTCGAGGTGTTCTGGGAGGACTTCTGATCTCTAAGACCTTTTTTCCTGAAGGTTTACGACTTTGAAGCGTTTATGTACTTATACCAAGAAAAAAGAATGGCAAGCTTGAGATGATAGCTATGAAACAGCGTGATTGTGTTAATGGGAGAGAAATAGAAAACAACCCAGGAAACAGGTTCCAGAAATTAAAGGGTAGAGACTGGGATGCATTTAAATGTGTGAAGAGAGATGGCAGATGAGTTGTTTAGGGCAGGCTGGAAGCATGTTGTGATAAAAATGGGAAGAGGAAGGAGGCAAACACATTTTACTAAAGAAGGCATGATACAACTGGGGGTTTGGGTGCATTTTTGGTGTGAAGAAAGATTTGCAAATATGCAATTGTTTTGTATGTGTGCAGTTTTCAGAAAATGAGATGTTAGAGAAAGCAACAAAACAGATCCCGCTCCTTAACCTGCTAACTGAAAGAGGGGAGGCTGACAAGGTGATCTCTCCACTTCTAGATCTGGGAATTGGCAACTCTTCCCTGTTCATGTTCTCGTGGAACCCCCAACACTCAAGCAGCAATGGAGGGTGTAGTCTCCTTCACTTCCCTCGTAGTCCTGGTCCATTCCTCTACTCCCTCTGCTTGCTGCCTCCAAGGCACAAAATGCCAGCAGACTCCAAATCTCACCCTCATCTCCGCCGCAGTCTTCTGCTTTCTGCCATTTAACGTTAACCTTCACTCAGGTGTTCCATGGGTATCTCAGACATAGCCTGTGCAAAGCTGGACTCATCATCCCTCCTGCTATTCTCTGCCTTCTTCTCATGGATTCCCAGACTGACATCATGACAACATTCTCTCCCTTCCCCAAGCCCCAAAGTGGGAATCGGCCTCCATTCCTGCCTCTTTCTCAGCTCCCACATCCGCTGTATCTCTAGGATCAGTCCATCCTGCTGCCCTTTCGGCTCCGAGAGCCACCCCCTCCTCTCCATCTGCCAGTGCCTAAGTTCATCCTGTGGGCCCACACTTACCGCCCTGCCTCCTCCACGCTGCAACTAGAAAGTGCAGTCTAGAACAGAAATAGCTGATGATGTCACTTCCTGGCATTGAAGCCTTCACATTTAATTTTGTATCTTTTAGCATCCTCCAGGTCTTGACTAGCCTCTCCTGTATTCATCAGTGCTCCACTCCTTAAGAATTCCCAGGGAGCAGTGCCCTTTTCTAGTTCTTTTACTGGAATACTGTCTTTTTATTCCCTTCTAATCTCTGCTGAGAAAATCCCTTTAGAACCCAGTTCAAACATGGCCTCGTCTATGAAACATACCTGGTTGTTGAATTTTTGTTTGGTTCCCCAATACCTCTATTATAATTCCTGCTTTAAAAGAATATTAACCTTGGGTAGCCTCTTTCTTCAGTCTGGGTTCTTTGACCCAAACACATCCAGAGCAAGACCTCACTCTCAACAGGGCAGAGAAAATAGCCAGTGCCCAGGCAATTCTGGACAGTCACCTCTCCAAACCTAGCTTTCCAGTATCCCAACAAGACTGTCTCCACAGACCAATCCTTGATTCTGATTTAATACCCTTTACTTCCACGGTTGTGAAATATCTATAATTTTAGATGCTCTTCCCAAGATGGAATTCTCAATCTTATGCTGGGGTGGTTCATAGGAATGAGCTACAGAAATGGCTTCCTTGTAGACCCACCCTTACTGCAGAGAAGAGGGTTCCAGGCCACAGCCTAGGGGAATCCCAGGTGTAAGCTGAAACCTGGTCCTGTACTCTTGGGGTGGGGGGAGACTGAAGAATGAGGCAAACTACCCTGGTTTGTTAGGTAGCAGTTCAACGAACAGGGAACTTAATTAGGAGGCACTGTCTGGGGTGACCCAAAGACGAGTAGTTTTCCCACCAAATCTCAAAGTCATAAAGAATGTAAGTGTGTCCAGTCATGTATGGAGACCAGAGAGCCTCAACCATACCTCCCACACTGTATACATCCTCTCAGGGCTGTTTCCCTGGAACAGCTTCTGAAAAACACATTAACCAGGGGAAAGGGGTGACAATACTCAGCTTGTCTGGATCCAGCTTTTGGGTCAATGCGGGTGTCAAGTTCTTTGGAACACTTTTCTCAGCAAGAGACTCATGACTAGCTTTGTGGTGGAAGATAAAATGGAACATGCATGGAAGAAAGGTCTAAAAATAGATCTTTAATCATCATAACAAAAGGACTGCTTGACTTCTTGAGTGGCCCCCCTAAGCCAGAAACCATGCTACCCACACCCCAGTTGTCATTGCCAAGCTTCCTGAAATACTACCACACAGGTGTCATTATGCATGTTTGGCAGGATCCAAGAAGTTAAACTTGCCCTTCAGATGTGTGTATATGTGTCTCCTGTATGTCCTCTTCGGTTCTAAACTACCCTATCAAAATAGTACAGTTCACTAATTGTCTCACCTGTTATGTCCTTGGTAACCTGAGACTGGGACACATGACCATTTTAGTAGCTGTGATATCTCCCACCCAGGAGTAGATGCATAGTAGGTAAATGCTTGGGGGGAGGTAGTGAGGATACCAAGTGGTATCATCTGACTGTCCTTCAGTTTCCTCATTAAAGCCAATAGTGATAGGGTAGACCTGGGAGAGGGAAGGAGATAGTCCACTTGTTTTCTGGATAGAGATGCCGTGCAATACTCAGGGTCCTCACAGGATCTTCAGGGACTGTCTCAGTATTCTTTCTACGTCAGCCTCCCTCTTTTGTTCCTGAAATGAATCCTCTTTTTCCAACTCTATGTCATTTCCTTGACCTATGCAGAACTTGCATTCAAGAGACATTTAGTAAATATTTAGTCATTGATTCATTCAGCCCTCCAGCTCTAGGCTAGCACAGTTCAATTGTAGCACCTGACAAAGCTCTCTTTCTTGACTTATTGACTTGCTTCCAAGAGAATTAAATATTGGTTTCACAGCAAACATGTGGAAGCACCACTGGCAATCGTTGAACCTATCTGTAAATAGACTTGCCCAAGTCTATTGGGGGCTGTTCAGAAACCATCCAGAATAACATGAAGAGGCCTTCTAGGAAAGCAAATGTGAGCTGGGATAATACACTTAGTAATCTCATGAGGAAGTAGCTGTGAGGAGACTTTAAAAATTCTCAATTCCTCTCCTAAGAAACTAACCACTCTTGTACCATGTGTGTCTTACCAGACTGTATATTTCAATTACTGGTGTTTTAAAATATAGGTTTTCTTATTCTTCAATTATGGCAAAGGCAACAGATCAGAAGATGACTGCCATTGAAAAGATAGTTTGTTACATTTGCTTCTCAAGAGGAGGGGCACACTATGCAGTGGGGTGCTGCTGGGGGAGCAACAGTGTCGGACAGGAGAAAGAGGGGCTGGAGCCTTTAGTGGCTTTTGTGGGAGGGAACTGTGAGACAGGGGAAACAGATTTAGAACTGGCTAGCTTGAATTAATTTCAGGAGGTTCTGGGGCAGAGGAGCTGTTTCTAGTTGGCTGGTACCTGGCCCTGGGATGATTAGGGCATGTGGATGGTGACCCTGACCTGGAAAGCCAGATGAGGTGAAGGCAAGGTGTAGACTGTGGATTGGTTGTTTTGCATGTGAATAGCACATTCACAAGCAAGCTTAGCTTTCTCTAGGAATTTTGAGCCCTTGGAGGGGTGGTCCTTGCTGGATCACCAAGGCCAAAGCACCAGAAAATAAGACTTGATTAATAGTGGGGTGGGATTCATTAAACAATGGCGATACCTGAGCCCTGCTCTCTCAGGATTATGATGGACAAGGTCTGGGATAGACCTGGGAACTGGCATTTTTCAAGCTCCATTGGGGAGTCTAATGTGCAGTAGGGTTGAGACCACAGCTAGCCCAGATGCCGCTCCACGGTCTCTGTGTACCCACTTTCATTCATTGAGGAACATGCCTGTGACATAAGATCACTTAACAAAACTAGTTAAGCAAATTCATTTTAAAATAGAGTTGTTTTATTTTTCATTTCAGGCCACTGACCAGAGAAACCTTCCATCCCCCTCCACCTGTCCCACCCAGAGGTCGCTGATTCCATCTCCTACCTGCCTACTTTAGGACTTTGAGACTTGATTTTCAGCCTGTTAATGATGTCCTCGGTTTGAGTTTCATGCATGACTGCTGACCTGAAGACCTACTCTCCAGTTGATTTTGTTTTGGCCCTGCTGGTTTGGGCTTTCCTTGAAGAAGATACTATTAAGACATAAAGAAGTGGAAAAACTAAGGACTTTATTCACCAGTGCCAAACACATTGATCTATCTCTTCTTGTTTGCCAAACAGGCCAAGATTAATTGGGTTACTTACCTCTACTTTGGCATGTCAGAGCCTGAAAAGATTGATCAAAAAATGTACTCTTGCCAGTAATTATACTGAAATGCACTCATATTTGGAACTTACGTCTTTGCTAGTCTAGTCTAACTTCTAGGGGTGGCTATAAGTTAAGGCTTAAAGTCTTCAAGTAAGAAGATATGTCTTAAATTTTAAATGACACTTCAACGTTTTTGTAGACTCAGAAGGCTGTTTAATTGCCAGGGCTCACCACATATAACAAATTGAAAAAGACTTTAGTATTAGTCCTAACTCCTCTTATACAAAAGGCAAAGTGGAGTTTCCACAGAAATATGGAACCTAGACTACTCATTTGGTGAGAGGAAAAGGTGCACCTGGAAATAGTTCTGCTTTCCAGCTCCAAATAGCCAAACCCATCCCTTGAGATATGTCCAGATGTAGAAATATGTTTATTGACTATTGGCCTTCTAAAATCTTCCTTCTTCCATTATCTTCCAGGCATGGGACCATCAAGTTTTTCTTTCCCTTAGTTTGGGCATTTATACTTCATCATGCATTTAAAATAATGATGTTTCCAAGGAACACATGAAAAAGGTGGAAAACAGAAGTTTGGGGTGCAAGGGACTCTGTTTATTGCTCTGCAGCCTTAAAGGTCTTAGTTCTGGCCATAAGGAGAGGGAAGGAGCCTTGATTTTTTTTTCTGCTGAGTCATCAGAAGAGGAAGGAAGAACTTCAACTAGAAAAATAAAATCTTTATGATTAAAGATTTTTCCCCCCTCATCCTTCAGAACAGTTAACAGGGACTCTTGCTGAAGTTAATCGCTTCTGGGACCCTGGGTGTTGGTTATTGGTGTTTTTTTTTTTCCTGACATAAAATACACTTTTGGCCATCAAGAGTATTTGTGCGAATTACCGCAATGCGTGCTAGATGCAGTTGTCCCTTGTCTCTTTTCTGGGAAAAATTTGGTAATGTGAGATAAAATGACAAGAAGTTATCTTGGATAGCAGTCTTTCCTGTTTCTTATATATAGTTTCCATGTTAAAGACATTTGATAGCAATACAACTACACTTTTTTTAAAAAAAAATATATTCAATACCTCAAAACCCCTTTTGGGTGTCAAATTTATCTTTTACATTCTCTGATTAACAAGCATTTAGATGAATAACATGGCAAGACCTACTAGCAGGCTTTGGTGTCAACACCTTTCATGTGCACGTTACTGTTTACAATATTGGGATAGTTTATCCTAAAGTGAATATAATAGAAAATATAACATTGACAGTGTGGATGAGAAGTATGGGTCTCATAAATGTGACACACTTGAGACATGGATGGAAAGATCAGAAAGACCAAGTTAAAAGTGGCAAATCATCAGCTCTCCATGGCTGTTCACCAACTTGTAAGATGATTGGTTGTGTGTAAAAATAAAAGAAAAAAAAATAAAAAGAAATCGGATAAAACATTGGAAGCATGCTATTAAGGACAGTCTCTAATAATGAGGTGAAATTTTACATTTTCTAGAAACAAACCACCCATTATAACATTTACTCAAGCTTCATACACTCAGTTTTTGTATACATTTTTTTTGGGGATACATAATAACAAAGCCATGCATTTCAATACAAGGAGGATCAGAAACTAAATCATAATTGGTCTTCATAGAGACTATTAAAGCTTTTTCTATATGATAATGTGGAACACAGCTCTGTAGTCACTACTCTGCCCCAAGATTTTATAAGCTGTTTCAATAGAAAGTAATGCAGTTGGTCACATTCACTGCCATTGCCTTTCCCTCTAAGTGTACAAGGTACACTGGCCAGTATTATTGCTTTATCTTATAGTAAAACTGTGAGCAGATAACCCAACTATGTAAGTAAAAGAAAATGAAGCCTGAGATGAAATAAACAAGAGGTTAGTGTGGTAATCAAATAATTTAACTTTACATATTTAATGATGTGCATAATCCTTAATGCTTTGCCATAATTACGCAGTGAATAATCCTTAATGCTTTGCCATAATTAGGCAGTGATGTAATATAAATTACTTCAATGAATATATTTACAAATCAAGCAAAGTTACCTACTCTCACCAGCTTTTTCTTGCTTTATGTATACACAAATACATGTTATATATTTTTTCTTGCTTTATATATATTATATATAAAGCTCTTGCTTTCTATATATATATAGAAAGAGAGAGAGAGAGGTTCTAGTTGATTCCATAATCACCCTCAACAGGTGGGTTTTCAGATTTTCTCTCTCACATGTAGTTTGGTTTCTGTGCTCTTCTTTCAAAGAATAGTGTGTGGTTTTGCAGCTGGTAAAAAAGTAACAGATTTGTTTCTAAGAAAGACAAGTGGCTAATTTGGCTAACTAAGAGATTTATCCTGAAAATCAATCCTTAGTTTGGAGGACATACTTGCTTTTGTTTGCTAAATAACTTGTGTTTTATTTATTTCCAAGTAATTTATTAAGGCTATAAATTGGCCTTACTCATTTTTGATGGACAGATACTATGTTCCCCAGGGTGGAGAAAGGATGACTGGTAGGTGAAAGATGTGCTCTGACTTCTGAGGCACAACCCAGAATCTGTTTTTTCACAGAAACTGTAGTAAACAGTAGGTTTCCAGGGTAGCCTGCCAAAACTGTTTAACCCATGCTGCAGGGGAAGATGTATTAGCTGGCGATGCAGTAGAAGTGAGGGTGCGGGGGGAAGAGAACCTTGGCTTGGAAATCAATAAAGCTGGGTTTCGTTTAGTTCTACTACTGACTTGCTGAGTTCACATAGCGTGACTACTCTGGGTGTATTTTATCATCTGTGGAATAAAGAGTTGTGTACTCAGTTATAGTCCAGGTCCTTTCAACTCTAAGTCCAACAGAGGGATGGGAAACCCCTCATTCTGAAGAAGCAGGGAGTCAAACCTAATTGACAAGACATATTATTATGTGATGGCCACTGTTGCTTGTCCTGCATCATTTTTATAACAGATTGGTTTTTAAAAAGTGAGAAAGAGTGAAATGGAAACTGTACAAGAAATCAATAGCCTTAGTTGCTCTTCAGACCATGAACCAAATGTCTTAATTGATCACTTCCTAAAGAAACAACTCACAATAAACATCAGGTTCTCTGTTGTCTAGTCATTTCAGCTAAAATGGAAAAGATAGAGGTAGAAGATGGTAAATAGAAATATAAGGACTGCCCCACCCCAGAAGCAAATGACTAGCAGGATACACATCATAGAATTGAAAGCAGAAGTAGAATTTCAAAGAAAAGGTAGCTGACCTTAGATATCAGAAGATATGTTGTAATTTGTAGACCAAGACTTTTGATGATTATATTTTTTGAGATGAGAATAAAAGATTGAGATTGTGGTTTTCTGGATTATGTGCCAGTCATAAATTATTTAGTTAGTTGAGTCTTATTAAAATTACTGTAAAAAGATGCTGTACCGCCATTTGGGAGGGGAATCGTCTCACTGGCATTTCTCCCGCACCTTTTGTTGATGTTAGAGAATGAGGTCATTAATCTAGGTGCAGGAATTGGCAAAATAAGATATATTGATTTTTCCCACTCTTCAATTTGGTGAAACAGTCCTGGCCTTACTTTTCCTGATTTATGTTTTACTTATTTATTTTTTAATTAATTAATTTTTTTCTTTACCACCATCCTTTACTTCTCCTTGCCACTTGCTATGATTTTGATCAAAGCCCTGATGTCTAATTGGTTTTGAGCCTTGAAGTCATCAGTTTCCTTCTTTGAAGCCACACTTCTTTTCCACTAATCAGTGTCCTTTTTTCCATACCTGCTGTTATCATAATTTTATCACCTAAAACCATTTATTATCCTCATTTCTCAGTATCTACCAGAGTCCCTGGCACATAGTACATGCTCAGTAAATAAATAGTTGCTGAATTAGTAAACCCTATATGCACTTCCCATATAACCCTAGTGTGAAATGGACTGGCCTGACAGTGGGTCCTCACCCACATGTTTAATGGGACTTAAGTGAGACTCAACTGCAGGCACACACCAAAAGGCTAACAAAGGGTTTATTTACAGAAAGGGGACATGAAGAAAGGAATAACCCAGGGAGAAAGAGAGATGGATAAATTGGTGAATAAGTACTAACCAGTTCTGCGGAGCTGGAACCTCAATGGCATGCTGAAGGCTGGTGAAAAGCCAAGGCCCCCCAAGGCCCACATATGTTGTTATATACTATTCCTGGCTCCTTAACTCGCCTCTAGCTCCCAGCAATGCTCCCTTGGGTGGTGACAGATTTTTGGCCCTTGCTCTCTTGGATCTCTTTGGTTTGGGGTGAGGTTGGAGTCCATAAAACCTTTGTGCAGTTGTTCAGGACCTCCTTTCCCCTCAACAATCGAATGAACACAAACATTCTTAAACTTTCTTGAATAGCCCACCAAAATAGGGTTTCCTTTTCTCTTCTTGACCATTACACTTGTTGTTTGTCAAATATTTGCACAATTGGTCCCATCTTGTGCCATATTTTTGTACACTGGTTTTCCTATTCTCTGTTTATAGAATGTTTGTGTTTGTCCTGTTGCTTGTCATGTTTACTACTTTAAAGTCTACACTCCCCAAATGTATAGTTTATACTTTTTCTTGCATCTTCTTCACCCCTAAACAACTGCCAACCAAGTACTTCCCACACTGCCTAACAAATGTTTACCTCCTAAATCTGTGGAGGCTGGTGATGGATGTTCAAACAGAAACTACTCATCCATCTTAATTCAGCACTTACACTGCTTGTTCTTCAATTGCCCATCATCACTGATTCAAGAGCAGTGATTATTCATTCACAGGCATTCACTGAACTTCCACTATGAGCAAGTCACTGCACTAGGTGCTTTGCAGGATATACAAAGATGCCAAAGACGCCTCCTCTGAGTTCTACAGCAATTACTGGGATATGATTCATTCAGCCGTAAATCATGTACTGCCTTGTGCTTGTCTCTTAGACTACCTAGAAAGTGTTCTTTAAATTGTGATAGTATATTTGACTTTTCATTTATTAATGTCTTCGTTAATTCAGCCATTTAGCAAATAGTTATTGAATGTCCATGATAAGACAAGCACTGTCCCAGCTGCCAGGTAAAAACAACAAATGATAGGCCTGCCATCTAAAAAAGGGCCTGCATTTAGTACAGAAGAGGAACAGGGGTTAGCAATTATGACATAACATGAGGTCCCCAAGAAGGCTGCTCCATTTCTTCAGGGTGTCATGCAAGATTTCATTGAAGAGATGATAACTCAATTAGGCCTGGAAGGAGAGTAAACTTCATCCATTTGTTTGCACACAAAGGGAACATCAAGAACAAAGCAAAGACGTGTAAAAGACCAGGTGTTTTTGGAACATAAGGGATGAAGTCAGAGCACAGAAATCTGTGGGAGGTAAAGGTGGGACAAAAGTCTGGTTGTACAGCTGCACACTCACAGGACTTGATCCTTTACTTTAGCAAGAAACTTTTTTCTTTTCCTGATTATGCCATTGTAAATAATCATTGTAAAAAGTATTCAACCATTCACAAGCATGTACAAATCGAAAGTCTAATGGTTTAAGTGGTCATCTTTTGGTTGTATTCTAGCTAGACTAATATATTGCCATTTAAAATGGAATTTGTATTCTACTTTTTTCCCTAAATATAGAAGTATCTCTTGGCTATCATTCCACACCAGTACATATAGTCTATTTCATTTTTTTAAATGACTATGGATGGTAATCCATGAGAATTAAGGAAGACTGATCTAGAACCGGACTGCTTAGGTCTGGCCTTTCAGCAAGTCGCTGAACCTTTCCTTGATGCAGTTACCTCCTCTGTAAAAGGAACAGACTAATAGTGCCTCTTGTTTATGCCTTATGAATAGGTTTTTGTAAGGATCACGTGTAAAGGGTCTAAATTAGTGCCTGGCAGATGAAACTCTAAGCTGTGGTTCTATTATTTATTTAAATGTTCAAGAGTGCTTTAAGCAAGAGAGTGATGTAATCAGTCTTTTTTGGGAAAGGTCATCTGGGGAGAATAAACAGGGAGAGCAGGTAGGTGGTAGGAATCTGTAGTGAGATGGAGATGATCTATTACTAGCAGAAAGAAAGAAAAAAAAAAAAACTCTTAAGACATTTCTAAGAGCCCAAATGCTACATAATTTGTTGACTGTGGAGGGCTGAGAAATAGACAACCTGACTACAAATTCCAGATTTTGGTCTGAGAGGTCTGCTCAGATAGATGCTGTTGGAGTCATATATTTATTTGATAAATTACTCCCGAGTTCCTTCTCTGGGTCTGCACTGTTCTAGGCACAGAAAACATGGAGGTAAATAATCTGTGCTTAGTAAGAACTTAGATTCCAAATGTTTATTATGTCTATGAGTGGGAGACCCAACATATGGTAAACACATCAGAATTTCAAGCAAGATCGAATTGTAGGGGCACAATAAATATTCAGTGACGTAGACCATTTATCCAGTCCCGTACAAGGTTAAGTCTCCCATAATGACGACTCTAGCAGATCGTGCTCCTGCAGTGGGCCCTTGCCTGGGTTACCTGATCCACGTTGGGCAGATCAGCAGTGAAACCCATTTCACAGCCCAGGAATGTGAGTCTGGGAAAAGTAAATGATGACTGTACATATATATATATAAAGCTCAGATCTTTGATGACTGTACATATATATATATATATATTTAAAAAGCTCAGCTATCCAC